TCATTTCCAAGAATTCTTTCTCCTATGGTTTATTCATACAGTCTTTGTTTCATTTTATGTATATAATGATTAACTTCGTAATTGTTTCTGGTGATGACTATTATGATTTCCTTTAAAGTTTGCCTCCCCTAAATTGTGTTTTATTCCCCCAGGACCAGGTATTTTGTTGATCTTTCACACTTGTACAGTGGGTCCCTACAAATGGCCTGGCTGTCCACCTGTATTCATGGGTAGGAGCTCAGGAACCCGTCCTGAGGAGAAGGCTGTTTATGCCTCTGAGCAGGGGTGTGGATGCTGAACAGTGCAGGTCTCCAGGCAGGATGCATGCTTCAGGCAAGCAGCTCACTGCAGAGCTGTCCTGCTTTCCACTGCACAGTGCAGAGGCTTGAGCTTTCCAGGCTCCATTTTCCTTTCAAGCGTCAGCATCCACAGCAGGGGCTCTGTTGCTCCCAGTTCTGTTCCTTTCCTTCTTGGGGAATCACTCTGAGTGCAGATGCCTGTTCTCTCTCTGGGCCTGGTGGCAGGGATGCTCTTGGCCTGCTTTTCATGCAGAGTCCCTTGGTCTTGGTGCTACAACTTACCCCTTTATACTTCTTGGATGAAGCCTGGGGCTTCCCACCCGCACTGCTGCCTCTCTGCTCTGACCCAAAGCCAGCCCTGGGCTCAGTTATCCATAGAGAAGGCTGTTATTTTTGACAATGTGTTTTTCTCCCTCTTTCCCAAGGCCATGGCAAAAAATGAAATCAAGATCACCACATTTATAGCATTCCAATGTGTGATACACAGTCATTATTTCAAGACTGTCAAACCACATCCCAATACCATGAATAACACACTACCTCTTTCCTCCCACCACCAGGAATCTTCCATCCAATGCTCCTTCATCCCCTGAGCACTTACCACCAGCCAGAGTGATGGGCCTGGTGTGCTTATCTCTAGGGTCTCTCACCCCTGGGAGAGGCAGGCTCCCCAAGGAGCATTAATCAGGGCGGGTACGCAAGAGACTCAGTCATAATGGGAAATAAGTGACAGAAGAGGCAAAGCAGTAAGGTAGCCAAATCATTAAATCGGTTGGTAGAGATGAAAACTGTACATCAGACGTTACAATATTTGTTTGGAATGATTGTATTCTTGGAAACATGGACGAAGCACCCAAATACCAAATAGCCATTCCAACTTACAAGAATTTAGTGAGGCCAGGGATGTGGCTCAGCGGTTCCACTGCCTGCCTCACAAGCACAAGGTCCTGAGTTCAATCCAAAAAAACAGAGAGTTTAGTGATGTTGGCAGGATATAATCAATACGAAAACTAGGAACTTTCTTACATGGTGCCACTTAGATGATATAACAGCCCCCCAATTATTAGCCTCATAATACACCCAAAATTGTAAACTGCCAGAAGAGATTAACAAGACCCGTGTATAGCCTAAACGAAGGAAAACACTAGACTTTACTGAGGTTATAAAATAAATCTATATGTTGGGGAAGAAACTCAACCTAGTAAAGATGTCAGTTCCTTCATAATTAATAGCTTAAAAGCAATTGCTATTTAAGGTCAAAATGAGATTACCTGGTTGTTATTCTGAAGTTTTTCTTTTCTTTTTTTAAAAGAGCAATAGCCATGAAAAAATGAGTGACAAAAGAAAAATTCAACTGCTATGGTACCAGATGTAAACTGAATCACGGATTTAAGACAATGTGGTAAATCTAAGGAAGATTAGACACCGTGGAGATTGCAGGCCGTCATAAATCTCCAACAGGCAAGATTGCGGAGACAGCCACAGAACAGAGTCACAAGCCCAGAAACACAGCCACCTGGTGAAATGATTTGCTCGTGCAATGAAGGAAACACACAGAATCAATAGAGGAAGAAAACAGGTCAACAGAGAGAGAAGGGACAACTGGCAGTTTTCTCATATTTGCTGTCACACACAACGGGCTCAAGCAAATTAAAGGTGGATTAGAGGTTAATTACATTGAAAAGAGAGGAGGAACCAATAATAAAACTGTAAAACCTAGACATATATGGGTACTCTTCTGATCTTTGAATTAAAGGCTTTCCAAAGAGCTTAAGAAAGCACAGAAATAAAAGTATAAGACTTATGACTTGATTATGCATGAAAAAGGGAAAAATATCTCTATGTCATGTTTAAAGAGCAATTCATAAATTAGAGTAATATTTCAAAAAACCATAAAATCTTAATATTCTAAATATACAAGAAGTTCTTACACAGCAGTAGGAAAAAAACAAGTGCTCAGTGACATAATGGGCAAAGAATATAAGCTCATAACCCTAACGCAGGAGTCATGACAGCACAGGAGGTGCTCACCTCACCAATGATTGAAGAAACCCAAACAGACAAAGTGCACGGCATTTCTGTCACATTAGCGCAGCTTCCAAATGTGGTACCTCAAAGCAGAACCAGTGAGGGTGCAGGCTGAAATGGTACTCACTGTATGGACAGATGGGTGTTGTGCAGACATCTTTCTGGACGTACACTTAGAACTATGTCTTGAGAACCTTAAGAAAACTTCTACCTTTCGACCTGGTCACTCTATAGCCTCTTTTACAGCGACAGCAGGTGTTACGTCCAAAGGCTGAGGTGCATTTACCATAAGGGAAGACGTGAAATGCTGACCTGATTCAGTAACATTTTTAGGTAAGAAAATAAATTTTTACAAAAGTGAGCAGAAAGAGAAACAAACACCTCCAGTTTACCTAGAACGCCATCAAAACAAAACTCCCCCAAATCAGCAGAGCTCTAATGAGTCATGAGTGAAGAACAAGGTTAAGTGAGACATTACATTTTGGAGAAAAGAGCTCTATAATAACTAATACCTGTTTCTAGCTAAAAGTCTATCACTTCAACACAGCATCAAATGATTTGACATTAATTTGGTGGGTTGGATGGAATTCCTCACGAGAGAGATGGACTTATGCATGGTAATTTCAAACACAGGAAATCTGATTTTCCCAGCTTCACAGAATTTAAGGAAGTGACTACCGTTCCCAGCAGGGTCCCATCCCTGCCCAGGGCTTGCGCGAGGAGGAACGAAATCAGCAGCTACCTACCACCCGAGGCTCCACCCATCTTTTGGGCCGCCCCAGCTGCCTGGCCTCAGTTGGCCAAAGTTGGAGGCCACCTCCCCAGCATTAGCAGGGCCAGGAGGTCTTTCCTTTCCCATGGTGCACTGTGCTGCTAACATCACCTCCACTTCCCGATCCCTACTTGAGACCCAGAGTAGGAGGCAACCAGGCTTTTTATTCACGATTAACTTGGTTCAGAGGTGGAAAGATTCCCTGGCAAATGGAAAGTCTGACCATGAAAAGGGGATTTTGATCTTATCCCAAACCCTTTCCTTCACCCAATACCAAGGGTCTTGCGGAGACAGAAGCTCACTTCCTTGAGAGACATCTCGGACAGACGCCCCTCCATGGATACAGTATGGGGTACACAGGCTTTGTATTTTCTAATTATAATGGAACCTTTCGCTCTCCTCAGGGAAACACCAGAACCTCAAGATCAAGAAATTCAAAGTCGTAAGTGTCAGCATCCAATGCTTCTTCAACCCTTCAGCGCTGCTCCCTTATGCTCCAGGCCCAATACATTTCGACTCTTTCTTCAAACTCAGCCCCTGTGAAGCCTCCTGCTGCCCTGTGCGGCTCCTGCCCATTTCTGCCCCACCCAGGAGGCTGAGGCACCCCCAGGCAGGGCCTGTGTCTTTGTGATCTGTGTCCCTGTGGCTCAGGACAGTGACCGGGACACATTAGAAATTTGATAAATGGCCCCATGCGCTGTTCTACAATGCACACACACTTCAGAACATCACGCAGCACACCTTGAATCCATAAATTTTAAAAGTTAAAAATATAAACGCAACAGTGTTACAGTTCTATTGCATGCCAGCATTCCTGGATTTTGCCAGGGAATCTCCCAAATAACTTCTTTTAATGGTACTGGGGACTGGACTCAGGGTCTTCACACTGGGATACAGCCTCAGGCCTTCCTTTATTTCCCATTTTGAGTCAAGTTCTTGCTACATTGCCTAGGCTGGGCTTGAACTTGGGATCCTCCTGCTACAGCCTCCCAGAGTGCTAGGGTTATAGGGGTGTACCACTATGCATGGCTATGATTGCTTTTAAAGTAAAAAGGAAACTCAATAAATATTTGCTGACTCTAACCCTAAATGGATAGATGTGATAGAATGGGTTAGGAGGGAGCTGAGTTATGAGTTACAGGAAGGCTGTAAGGTGATTGCTACATTCAGGAATCCCAGAGGTCAGGGATCCCATGGCCACAGCACGAACAACTCCTGCAAGGCAGGTGGGAGGGAAATAATGAGGATTCTGGAAGGGGCTTCAAGGCGGTCTCAGCATGCTCGGGGGCAGGGGGTTCCCCCGGGCCCGAGCCCTCCCCCTGGCAAGGAACCCCTCAGAGCAAACAGCACACACAGCACTGCACAGATTCTTAAGTGAGAGCTAACAGTGACACTGCATGGCTGGCCACTCTGCGGAGGCCAGGGATGTGTACACAACCACACTCAGAAACATACTTTCTTAACCCTGTGTGGAAGACCATCCTCCAAAGTTCCATTAGCAATAACAGACGACAGTTAAAACACAAAACCGACAGTATTTAAATAGCACAGGTCTTTAAATCTTGCTCGAAGTAGTTTTCCCACTTTCACAGTTATCGGAAACAGGCAAATCCTTGATACTCTAAAAACTAATTCCTGTTTTGCCGAAGGCCTACAGAAACTGCTCTCTCCCGCTCCAGCTTGGGAAGGTGTGGTCTGTGTGGTGACTCAAAGCCCCACCCTCTGTGTGCTGGCACTCACAGGACTGGAGGTACAGAGGAGCCATCCGCCACAGAAGGGCGAGGTTCCCAGACCTTTATCTATGGTGAGGTGGGGACAGGCACGTTTCAGGCCTGTCCCCAAGCTGCACCATCTACTGTAGCTGCTGTACTCGACTTTTTGGGGGTCTGCTGCCAGCTTACCTGAATTTGGTGAGATGTGTAAACTGCTCATGTCCTTGGACAGGCCATTGGTTTTGGGGCTGGCGATGGGTGCGCAGGCTGATGTGGCTCGGGGTGGCCTCTTCCCTGGGACTTTCACAGTGGTTCTCAGGAGGTCGATCTCTTTACCGTGAACATTCTGCATGTAATCCTGTTCAAAATGTTAAACATCCAAGACAGATTAAAAAGAGGACCTGTACAACCCAGGACGCAACTTTCTGCCAGACGGCGTAGGCTATACCAGTGACCCTCCCACATGGAGAGCACTTTGGAAATGATGAGGTTGGATCTGAATGGCGCAGGTGGAATCCCCATTATGTTTAAATAAAGTAATGTGACTGTGTTCCAAGATAACCCAGGACTGGAAATACAGGGGGTTGTGGCAGAGGCTTCCCTTAAGAGGATTAGAAAATACAGTGGACCCTTGACTTACAAACAAACTCAATTCATTCCTGAGGGCTGGTTGTAACTCAAGTTGGTCAGTGAAGGCTCAGGCTCGTCTAATCAGCCTTCAGAATCTCTCCTGTACAAAAGGCAGATCTCCGGGTCCTTGGAGAAATACTGGGCCGGGATTTCTCAGTGAACCCCACCCAGGACAGGGTGCTGCTGTCATGTTCCTTCCTGAACTCTTTATGGGTTAAATCTGTGCCTGAGACCATCTGGAAGCACAAGTGGCCGGTACTCAGGTCGGAATGCAAGACTTTGTTCAAAGTCCAGTCTTAACCCAAGTTGTTCCTAGAGCAAGCCAGTTTTAACTCCACTGTATGTGTACACAAAAAACCCTACTTTTAGAACTCGCTTTTTTAGACGGCACGAATGAAACTGGGCTCATCCTGTGGATCCTGTGTAATATTCCATGGAGTGCAAAACTGTCATAATAGCCTTCCCGTCTCAGCTGGCAATGCCATTAAACATTTAAGGCAGGCCAAAGCTGTTGGTGGGAATTCAGACACAACCACATGCAAAGGTCAAGCATGCAATTAACGAGTGCGCCAGGAGCGGGTGGGTGTTGTGGTACCGGAAGTGCGGTACATCCACAGGAGGACGCGTGAAAGCTGGAGGTTGAAAGGAGTGCATACTCTTTGGCTGTTGGGCGCTAGGCTTCTCCAGGCAGTTCACACACTGTATTCCCAAGAAGATTCTCTGCTGCGTCACTTATCAGAGGGCAGCCCACAAAGGCAGAAATGCAGGTCTCCTGACTCAGCAGGGAGCAAAGCAATCCTTGAGAACTGGCTGATGATGGAAGAGGTGGGAGATGAAAGCAACAGGCCCAAGGGACAGTGGTCTGACACCTCCGAAACCATGAATCACAGCAAGCCTTTCTTACTTAGTATTTCAGGTATATGTTGTCATAGTGACAGAAAGCTGACTAATACAGCAACTGAGAGCCAGAGTGAAGGACTGTTGGTAAATCAGGAGCTATTGACCCTCTAAAGTGTCACTTTTTTTATATTGAGCCTTCTGCTCTGAGGATATATTTTATGAACACTGGCCAAATTTGCTGATATGACACAGGACAAAAAAGTGTAGTGTATCTTTTTTTTTTTTTTTTTTGGTAC